TAAACTTGTAGATAAATTGATTAGGAAATACTTGCATGCCATAATGGCAAAATATGGAGAACCATACCATAAATATTAAACACCTTTTGTATATTTTATAACCCATGTTTGCAACCGAAATAAATGATTTGATTTGATTTGATTTGATTTGACCCGAAACAATTTGTGATTACACAAAGAGCTAAAACAATTTGTGGATCACACAAAAAGTTGTTACGTGCGGGAATTGAACCCACGGCATGTTACACGGTAGCCAGTTATCCAGCCACCACGCCAACCATGCAGTCGTGGAATGGCCGTTGAGCTGATGGCGGGAGCAGTCATTCGATGATTTTCCCCCCTTAAAAAAAATGCAACACTGTAACTAGAGTTACCAACATTTTTTGACGAAAAGCGTATAAAATATATTTTAATAGGAAAAATAAAGTATTGTAAATACTACAGAAAAAAGTATGTTTCAATTTTCGGTATTAATTTTAAATTTAGAGTAGGTAGGTACCTACTTAGTTTCTTTAATTACCTATACGAAAATGTCGGACAATTCTCACACAATTTCGTCTATAGTGACATGTGTGATAATTATGGACTAAATGTTAGTGAGCAGTCATCACTAACATTTTGTTCAGCAATTATAAGTCATTTAATCTTTTTTAACTTATAAACACCATTAAGTAGTTAGTACCGTGTTAAGTATTCCACGCATTGCAATAAAGGTTAGAAAAAAGTACCAATATGATTACCAAAAATAAAGTAGAATACGTTATTATAAATAAAGTAGGTACCTATGGTTGGCAACCCTAACTGTAACTGTGAATTCAAACTTTCCAATGAGCTCGATCGCATTCTTGCCTGTCATTGGTTGAAATTATTCCTACAACCAATGACGTGGCGGACCGCAATCGAGTGCAAATAGTTACGAAATAGCCTAGCTGGACAGACTTGGAAAACATTTTACGCCTATTGGGAATCGAACCCGAAATCACTTAAAAAATATCTAATTGGTCAAGTTGTTACTGTCTAACATTATAATGCTTTATAACTTAGGCCAGGGCTGTCCAAACTATATAGGTAGGTACACTTGTAGGCTAATTAAATTTCTTACTAAAGCTGGAAGGCCAGAAAAATATTTTCAGTTGTATAACGACGTTTAACATTGTATTCTTTAATATGTACTCACAGACAACACTTGTTTACAAATCATAAACTGAATTTCATACCTTTGTTGGAAAACCCTGACTTAGGTTATTATTTATAGCTTTTTGGGAAGTCTCATCACATATACCTACCTACCTACTTATCTTTATTATGCAAATGTTACTTATCTCACTTGTAAGTAGGTACCTCCTTTATTAGGCAAATATCTATGAACGAGTTTTAGCATAAATACAATAACCTCTACTGGTCAAGATCTTCACCGCTCCGCTCTCCACTTACACCAATATAAACCTTATTATCTCCGATAATTAGAGACTATTTTTGTATGAACAAATGTTATGGATTTTTCATAGAAGTTAAAATGGTAACTACAAACAAACTACCTACCTACATACTTAGTTCCTTCAGTAGGTACTTATGTCATTTTGTAAACATAGCAAGACCACCGTATGTCGCTATGTACAAAGGTATCTACATATCTTATACCTACCTACTATTTAGACTTAATTATAACACTAGGTATTACATTCAAATAAATACCTAGGATTGTTTTTGTAACGCAATTTTGGTACTAATGTTATTAGGATTATCACACTAATAACCAAGTTGCTTTGTTTGGATGTTTGTCCGTCAATCACACTGAAACTACTCAGTGGATTTTGATATAATCGTAATTGGTAGGTATACAGACAGGTATGGGCTGACTTAGGTCATCACCTAAGATTTATATTAAATGCTTCCATGGGACTTGGGCAACATCTAGTGTTACATAAATTGTAAAGAACTCTGGAGGCGGTAATACCTAGGCGATTTATTTACTTGCCCATTTTCCTTATTGATAAACGTAAGTATTAGCCACTAAACAAGCCTCGTTATTTGCAGAAATAGGTACCAAACCAATAATTATAATTAATTATTTTATTGTTTTTTAACAGCTGAGTAATTAAACTTACCGAATTAGTAAACGTGACACCTTCATCCGCAATAAACCGTTGCACGCTCTTCATGGGCGTCTGAAATAAACAAATGAAATAAAACAACAGTTCATTCCTAATTTATTTATTTGCACATCACTATCACTGTACTAACCATGCCCCCCAACACAACATCTTGATCATCTGTCAATACCAAAACTATATTCGGCCTCTTTTGACAAACACTTACTCCGAGGAGCGAAAAGAACAATAAATAATTTAACATTTTTTATGTATAATTCTTAAACTTAGAAGAATAGAATTGATTGGAGTATGATGTGTTTATTGCGGCATCGCGGGCATTATCTCAAGCCCGGCGCACTCGCTCGCGATCACTACGCCGGCTGCGAATATGCCCACGCTCTTTACTAGTGACCTGGAAGATTAAAAAACATAAACATTGTTGTACAGATTAAAAATACATACCTAAACATTCTAGCACAGACTATAAAAAATATATTGGACAAACATTTCAACCTATTTTCTTTGCCAATCATATAGTTTTTGTGAGGAAAAAAACGGAAGTAGTAAAATTACTACATAATATAATAAAAATATATGACTTTACATGAAACTGGTGACATTTTTGATGGCATATTGAATTTGGAAGGACTATATTAGTCACCAGGTAGCATCATAACATTATAATTGATTCGACATTGACTTTGAGACACGAGAAGATAACCGCTACAATTATCTTGAATGACTAGTTTTGTTAGGTACTCCATTATAAATTCCCAAGCTTAGAAAATACAAGTTAGCCTTAACTTTTCTCAAGTATTTTGTTGTCATACATTTGCATATATATTTATCCTGCATACATACATGAGCAGAAGGAAACTATGGAGAATGATCTGTAATTATGATACATTTATTTAGCTCCTGTGTATCATAGCATAACATACAGTTACCTTCATATTAATATTATGTAATATCTAATTTAAAATGGTTAAATGGCAAATTTCTATAATCAGGTTATAATATAATGGTAAAATGGGATGAATAGAATTCGATGGGTGAATAAATACAGAAGAGGGATGAATTAAGAAAATATTCTAATATTTATTCACCTATGTAGTTTAAACTGTCAAACACCAAGCGGTCACCGGTGACCGCAACCTATTGTTCTATAATTGTGTCTACAAAACCGGTACTCGACGAGTTAAACTTCAAACTTACATAAATAAGTCCCTAAGAGTAATATTTTGCTTTCTGACAAATTATAAAAATGTGTTATCAACCAACACATGTCTCTTGTTTAAATAACATTCTGAGATAATAATGTCAATAACTGATAAACTTGGTTATTATTAACCATTTATTTTAACTATATATCATACATAACTACTGTATTGTAACTCTCAATGTAGCAATGACATCCTACTAATATTATAAATTTGATATGTTACTCCTTCACGTCAAAACGACTGAAGAGATCGGGATGAAATTTGGAACAGGGGTAGATTATGGTCTGGACTGGAATACCACATAGGCTACTTTTTATCTCGCTGCAATATGGCTGAAGCGACTAGCAGAAGCTAGTAATAATAATATTACATGATAGTATTTTATAGCTATTATTTATGTTACATACATAAGAGTACTTATTATTTATTAGAATATGCATGTCGTTTATAATGAATTGGCATCTTACACATACCAAAACAAATAAGAATAAGAATAATTTATTTAGCAAAACAAAGAACAAGTATACCTTATTAACAGAATGAAAATTGATGATTAAAACTAACTAAAAATTACAGGTTACTCACGTAAATATACTGAGCAAAAGATCAATGAATATAATAAGCAAAGCTCGACTAGTTTCGAATCAATGAGGGACTCTTCCTCATGAGCAGCTTGTGCGGTCACAATTGCGCAGCCGATTAGCTAATGCCTGTGTTGGTGCTTACATTGCGCGTTACTCAAAACTAGTACAGCTATTCTTAGTATTATATATCCCATAACATATCCCCGAAGGGGTAGGCACAGGTGCACACAGAAGTAACACCCACTTTTCACTATTTATGTCCCATGATGGGACTCATAACTCCCAAGTAATAGGGGGTAAACCTATTGCCATATACCGGGCATATTTCCAGACTCCGTGCTACTACTGAGATTTTTTTAAAAACCCAGTAATACTTTGCCCGACCCGGGAATCGAACCCGAGACCCCTTGCCTGGCAGCCGCACTTGCGACCACTCGGGCAACGAGGCAGTCTTCTTAGTATATTCACATGAGAAAACTGTAATTTTTAGTTAATTAAGTATATCTCAAAATAGTTATCATGATAATTAAAAGTTATTAATAATTAGCTTGCTGTTTTCATGTAAAAACTTTTACAATTAGACGTATAAATTTTATATGATTTAATTATTATGTTTTCGGTTTCTTCACATAACTTTTAAGTCAAGTTCCTCGTTAAACAGTTCTGTGAGTAAGCACCGAAAACTATAATTAGTAAGTATGTCCCACAAAAGTATTAATATATACATTGTATGATTTGTATAAACTTCTTTCCATACCTGAACCTAAACCTATCTGTGTATGAGTATCATAATGGGTGGTGCTATCTACATCCATAAGCTAAAGGTTTTAGTTTTTTTTTTATATCACAACAGTGGCAACACAGCACACTGCCCACCTGGTGTTAAGTGGTTACCATGTGGCGTTACTGTTTGTTAGTTATGTATTGCCTGGAATCTAGGTAATATATGGGATTTCCTAAATCACTACTCTGAGAAATATCATGTAGGTAATTGAAGTTAGTTTATAGTTCAGAAAAAATATTTTAATATTAATTTTAAGGTATTGTGGGTTTTGTACTAGAAATGATTTACTTATAAAGTAATTCAGTAATTCAGTTATAAATTATAGTCTGGATAGTACTTTGTGTGAAGTGTAAACAAAATGTTTATCAAAGAAACTGTCGTATCCACATTCCAAAATAAGAAGTTATAATAAATTGTAAGAGATCAAAACAAAGGTCTCAAACGATATTATTAAATTAATGAAAAGGTTAATAGGTATTTTGGTTCTAAGAGTGTAAACCTGAGATCAAAACGTTTCCGATGACAGTCATTCCGCGCTGAAGCATCTTTTTCAATTTATGAATTCTGTGCTTGCGCAAACACTCTTTGATAAGTTCATCGTTTACGTACCGATAAATATCGTAATTCTCTATTTATAAAATGTCGACAGTATACCTAATTTCGAATATAATAGAAAGAAAAATAACCACATTTTCAAAAGAGGTTATATTAGTATTTACTTACCACTTGAAGGGATCGTAATAGAAATCTTTCACAGTCGCAACAACACCTTTTTTGCCCATTATATACTTTGAGAAATACTTGGTGGTTTTACGAAATGTAACGTAGCAACGTTAGTTTTTATTAAAACAGTAAAATCAATAATCTCAATGACGGAAAATGACTTTTGAAAAGGAAAACAGCGTGACATCAGGCAATTGACAATTTGACATGAGGTATCTATTTGACAGTTTTTTTAGTGTTGCAATATTACGAATTCCAGTATTTTTTTTTAATAACTTTATTCACGACCATAGATCTTTAACATACGTACTGAAACTGAAACAGTGCGCCCAGTATATAAAATAGTATGTATCTTTCTAACCAAATATTAAAAAATTAAAAAAATAAAACTGCCTCGTTGGCCGAGTGGTCGCAAGTGCGACTGCCGGGCAAGGGGTCTCGGGTTCGATTCCCGGGTCGGGCAAAGTATTACTGGGTTTTAAAAA